GCTCCCAAGAAGATTAGACTTCGAAAATTCCGAAACCGACAAAATTAGGGTTGTGTTTATTTTGCGAGAAAAATTTGACAAATAGGGTGCCGCAAAAACAAAATAAATGAAATAGAATGTGATCCCAATGTTACGTCAGAAGATCCAATCAAAAAACAAGTGAAGGGAGAACATACGTATGTGAATAGCATATAAACCTCGTAGACAAGCGGTGTGAAATACTTTATCACAAGTATCTTCCATACTGTCCTCCAAAAGTACGAGTCGCACAGCGTTGGATAAGCATAAATCTAATAGTCTATCGAGATAAGATCCGAGCACTGGTACTCCAGGAAGGTACTGTGATGTATGCTTGACAACTCATATTTTCAATGTCTTATTCAAAAGAAGTAATCAATCTTCGCGGCCTACTCCCTCGTTTCTCTTCTTCCTTGGCAAGTTGCGAGGAATTGAATGCCATGATTGCGAGAGAATTGAAACTGTTTGCTTGGAAAATGGTAAGAGTCTCCAAATTTCATGACCGAAGACTTTGAATTTTTCACCGAGCACGACCTTGACCGATGAAACCACTTCTTTCTAAAACCAGCTCATCAGACACGAGAGAGAGAGAGAGAGAGAGAGAGAGAGAGAGTAGCGTCAAAGCTAATTGCACAAAATGGCAAAGAGAGCTTGTGTTTCTTCTTCCGCTCTCAGTTTCTATGAGTTGTTTTTGAAACTTAGTTTTCTTCTCTTGGTATTGATCCTTTGAGCCATGCCATGCAAAAAAAAGGGGAAAATTGTCCAAAAAGTCATGAACCTATTATATTTTTGTCAATTCAGTTCTAAATATTTTTACGTTTTACCAATTGAGTTCATCCGGCCACTTTTAACCGGGAATCACTGATGTGGATGCCAAGCGTTCTACATGGCACGCACAGCACGGACGTGGATAATTTTAATATTTTGTCGAATTTTTAATTAATTTTTGAAATTTTTTTCTTCTTTTTTCTTTTCTTTTTTTGAAAATTCTCTTTTTCCAAGTCCAATGAGGGTTGCCGGTCACAGGCGAGGCCCGACGACTCCCGCTGGCCACTAGGTGAGCGCTGTGAGGCCCTTGCCACGACCCTTGCCCGCGACCGGCGAGGGCCATGAAGCCCTCACCAGTCGCTGCCCTCACCCAGATTTGGTGAGGGCCACAAAGCCTTCGCCTGAAGCAGACTAGGATCGCAACCCTCGCCCAACCTTGCAAGGGCTGTAAAGCCCTCACCCAGTGGCCGAAGAGGGTCGCCGACCCTCGCTTGTGGCCGCCAAGGGTCACCGACCCTCACTGGACTTAATAGAAAAAAAAATGAAAAGAAAGAAAGAAAAAGAAAAAAGAAAAAGATAATACATTTTTTTAAAAATTATAAAAATTTGTCAACGTTAGCGCTGACCGTCTTACATGGCACTACCGGCGTCCACGTCAACGATTTCAAGTTAAAATTGATCGGATGGACTCAATTGACAAAATGCAAAAAGGCTTACGACTCAATTAACAAAATTGAAAGGTTTAGGACTGAATTGACAAAAAATACAATAAAAGTTTATGACTTTTTGGATAATTTTTCCTCCAAAAGAAGATCTACGACAAGGTATGTATATGTGTGTCTCGATTAGGGTCAACTATATATCTGATTTGGGTCTCACCCTCACATTTATGGACTTCTAATTAGCTTTTTTTCATATGAGATTTAGCATATGTGAGTAAATTTTCTACTAAAGATTTAGCCATTAATGTAAGTTTTATTACCTAAACAAAGGATCAATAAATCTGGAGAAAATGTACATTATTTGCACCGATATCACGTTTTCTTTTCTTTTTTGCAGAATTATTGTTATTTAAAGAATGTATATGTTGCTATTGTCGGAGGCCTTTCTTTGGAATAAAAGGAGGTAAATTGGTAATACATCCTAAATATGTTACTCCAAAACATTAGAACATAAAAATTAAGGCTCGTTTCGTTAGTCTTTCCCTAGTTAAGGGAACGTGGAGTTGTCTTAAACATGGACAAGTCAATACTATACCCTTCAATATACGAATCATGTCGCAAATTGTACTACAAATCAGTACTATTATAGCATAAGAACATAACACAGGCTGAAGCATCTAATTAATAATCCTCGTGAGAAATTATCAAAAAAGTCTTAAATATATTGCAATTGTGCTAATTTAGTCCTAAGCCTTTTTCTTTTGTGTCAATTTAATCTTAAACATTTTGCATTTGTCCTAATTCAGTCTATCCAGCCAATTTTCGGTGGGTGGCGCTAGCGTGGACGCCATCCGGCCGACACAAACGTGGCAATTTTGTATATTTTTTTATAATAATAATATTAATTTTTTTACACTTTCTTTTCTTTTATTTTTATTTTTTCCTTTTTCCTTTTCTTCCCCATAGTGGCCGACGAGGGCTGCAAAGCCCTTGTCAGCCATGGGCGAAGTCGGCCTCGCCCACGGCTTGCAAGGCCATAGCAGCCTTTGCCCGCGATCGTGACGAGACCCTAGCGACGCGATCTAAGCACAAGGCTTGGGGCCGCATGCGAGGTGGCCTCGCCCAGATCTGGTGAGGCAATGGTCACCTTTGCCTGCGTTGCCATGGCCTCGCCCTCGACGGCCACTATGAGGAAGAAAAGGAAAAATAAAAATAAAAAATTAATAAAAATTAGAAAAAAATATTAAAATATTATCGGTCAGTCAGACGGCTGGCATTGACTGGCATCCACATTAGCACCAACCGGCCAAAATTGGAAGGATTAACTGAATTGACATAAATGCAAAAGGTTTAGAACTGAATTGGCGCAAAAATGGTTTATGACTGAATTGACACAATTGCAATATTTTTTTTTTGGTTGAAACACAATTATAATATGTTTAGGACTTTTTTGGTGATTTTCCCTAATCCTTGTGGAGTATGGCTGTTGCATAATTAGTAAATTATATGATAAGCTCTTTTCTTTTGGGTTATATCGTAGTAACTTAAGTTGTATCAATTCACGTACTTAACATTATGCATACAACCAATCAATAAGCCCTTTCCCTTTGCGTTAATCCGGCTAAGTAGAACTTGAACTAAAAATATTTTGTGATTCGTTTCATGTAATTATTATTCCAAGGATATATTTTAGGTACAGTTTCACATCTACATTTCATCCCCAATTCAATGTATTATTAGGCAAATTGATGCGAATAATGGACTTTTTCATGAAGTATTTACCGTATTATTTTACCAATGCAAGGCCCTTTTACCCTAGTTCAGATTTGTTTACCACCTTGAAAAATGGCATCTTGGGTACTATCGATGTGCATGACAAGTTATAATATTTTAATACTTTTTTCGATTTATTTATTTATTTTTCCTTCCCTTCTTCCTTAGCCAGTCGCTGGGCCTTAGCGATGGACGTCGACTAGCCAGAGGCAAGCGCCAGTGAGATTGACCTTGCCGACCCCTGGCGAGGCTCGCCACCCCTAGCGAGGCTTGACCCTTGCTAGATCCAACGAGGGCTAGCCGTGCCTGGCCACTGGCAAGGCTCGCCTTTGCTAGGCTTGACCTTGCTAGTGGCGAGCTCGAGCCTCACCTGGTCGACCTCAAGCCTTGCCCGAGGCCGGCCCATGCCTGACGCCGGCAGTCGCTGAGGCTCGACGACTAGCATAGAAAGAAAGAAAAATAAAAATAAAAAAAAGATAGAAAAAATAAAATAAAATATATTAAAAATTTGAAAGTTTTTAAAAAAAAATTTCTGGATGAACCCAAGCATGGATGTCAAGGACCTAGGCTCAGCCTCGATATTACCGGGTCTAACGTCTCGGGCACGGGCATCAGTGTCCTAGACCCAGCCTCAATGGACTTGAGCGTGGAGGCTAGGATCTCGGGTGCGACCTAGATGGACTCGGGTCACGGCGTCAGAGTCTTGGACCCGGCCTCAATGGACCCAAGCCCAGGCACCGGGGACCCGGCCCATTGCCAAGGGCCCAAGAACGAGTGTTGGGGTTCTCGTTCCCAAGTGCAGTCTAAACGCAAATATCTAGTCATATTTTGAGGAGAAAATCATTTTCCAGAATTTTAAGCTTTGGTAGGAAAATCTTTCCCATTGACTAGGAAAATATATTCCGTTGACTCATTTTCTAAGTGATCAAAACAGCGAAAAATGAAAAAAAAAATTTACAGGAAAATGTTTTATGCGAAACAAACAAAGTAAATTTTACCCATATTCATTTGTTCATCTATTGTTCACAATCGCCGATACTGCCAACAAATTATCAACGAGTACTAGCATAACTTGACAAAGCATTAAAGTTACCAACTAGTTTACAAATTTACCAATCTTAATTTAAGTGAAATACCAATTTTTCTTCGATAAAATTCCCCATTAATTTTGGGTTACCAACTCTTATTTGTGATGCTCACCTATGTTTATTTGGTCAAACTCTAAATGATAAACTTTTCTAATAATTTACTAATTTCTCGCTAGCTTTCAAATTACAAACTAGTTTTAGGTGACCAACTCTTATTTGAACCACTTATCCACATTGATTAGATCGCTTAAATAACGAATGATTCTGAATAACTTACCAACTTTTATTGAATTATATGAAATTACCAACTTTATCCTACTCATTTTCATTTGCCAATTTTTATATGACATGTCGGTAGTAGCTACTTCTCATTGTCGATAGTAACTTCACACATCCAAAAGTTTAAACATTTCAGTAGCTAGTAATTTCTCTAATAAGTTAAAAAATTTAATTTGGGAAAGTACAGTAATTATTCATGAGAATCAGTAGTTTTCTCATAAATAACTAAATATTGATATATCTAAATTCAACATCCGAAAGTGACTAATAACATTTGTATAATGCAAAGTAACTTTCAAATATCTTTTCGATTAAAATCATATGCAATTGAAGTATTTTCAAAGTAAATACCATATATAGCCAGTAATTCCAATATCCATACTACGGGATGAATCGACCCATTCAACACATGAAAATATGCAAATGTCAAATTATGTAGTGATATAACACATTGCCTGTCGTTCCATCCAGTCTCCTTCCAGGTTCAGATAGTTTAAAGGTAGAGAATAACTTAAGATACAAGATATCACAATGTAGTTGACTCGTGGGAAGTTTCATATACATCTCATCTCCTAGCAAAAGGAAAGAAAATGAATTCAACACAACGGAACAGAAGACTCAGACAAATTTAGACTCCAATCTGTGATCATCGAGGATATAACTCGGTGATTGAAGCCTCGTTCACTGATTCTTGGATTTGTCCGTTTTCAGATTGACTCGAATGAGTTGCCGTCACCCGCGACGCTGTGTCAGATTTAGGGATGCTGTGCATAATGAATGCAGGTCGCGACGGTAGTGGCATGGTGGTGGAGTAACTATTGAGCATCAAAACCACCGCACCCATGGTTGGTCTCTCGGCCTCAATTTCTTGAACACATAGCAATCCAACATGAATGCACCTCAACATTTCGGTCCTCGAGCCATCGGCCAAATTAGGATCATTGAGATTTGAGGGGGTCCCTTCCCTCCAACTCCTCCATGCCTGCAATGAATCACAAAAGCAAACTCAGATGGTAAAAACAGTTGCTTGACTCATGCAAGTTCGGGTCCACCACTCTTTTCCAGTGATTCTTTGGGGGAAGGACAGTGATTTGAAGAAATTTTCTTACATAGCTAAGAAGGTCCTCTGTGGTATCCCCGTTGCAGAAGCGGCTACTTTTTTGACCACTAATAATCTCCAGTAGCAACACCCCAAAACTAAAGACATCTGACTTGACTGAGAACAATCCATGCATTGCATACTCTGGAGCCATGTACCCATTGCATCACAGGAATAATGAGGACTTTCAACACAATTCCATTTAATATGCCGTGCCTTTATATCTGCAAGTTATTCAGATTATATGGAGAAGAGCACGGGAAATATAACCGGATTTGTTTTAAGATACGCTGCTATCTATCACTTACTAAGTGCCAACAACCCTGCTTGTGTCGCCTTGAGTTTGATCCACCACAAATAGCCTTGCTGTACCAAAATCTGAAATTTTAGTGGTCATCTACGCGTCAAGCAAAATATTGCTTGCTTTAAGATCCCAATGAATGATTCGAAGTTGAGAATCCTCATGAAGATAAAGAAGCCCACGAGCAATGCCTCCTATTATCTTTTGACGCCTTTCCCAATCCAGCTGCTTACGCCTAACAGGATCTGCATAGCATTTTGAAAAAAGGTTTTAGTGGATGTGACTAATGCGAGGTGACTTTCTAAATGCAGATTAGCAAGTACATGCACTTCAATTATTCTTCAATCGGATGATGCTGGAACAAAAATGGCATGATCATACCATATATAAAGTGATCCAGGTTTGAGTTTGGTACGAATTCATATATAAGAAGCCTTTCTCTCCCCTCCAGGCAAAAACCTAAGAGCCTAACCAAATTCCGGTGTTGAAGCCTTGCAACCAAGAGGACCTCGTTCTTAAATTCTTGATCACCTTGTCCCAAATCTACAGACAGCCTTTTTACTGCTATAACTTGTCCATTGGCCAATGTTCCCTGAAAAAGAATGCGAAAAGCAGCCATATACATGTGAATGTCTCAATTTCTCTCTTTATTTTAGGAATAAACAATTTGCAGTGATTACCTTGTAAACTGTGCCAAATCCACCTTGTCCCAACTTATTTGTGTCAGAGAAGTCATTTGTTGCCGCTCTAATAGTATTCAAGTCGTACTGCAGGGATTCTGCATTTCTGATTTCATCTACAGGTACAGCTACGAAGTGGAAAATCCGAAGTTGCTTATTGTCTAATTCGACATTATCAGTACATTGATTTAGCAGTTAATAGTAATTCATTCTTATTTAACAGTTAATCCATTCGAAGAAAAATTTGTCCTCTGGGTGATGGTAGCAAATAAAAGGTTTTCCAGAGCAATCAAGGAACTTTGATATCTATAGCCCGCACTGAATCTGTCCTCGCTTAGTCAGAAATCACCAACCTCTGAATTTCTAAAAAGTTACTAGCTTTTACACATCAAGGCTGAACCTATTAGCTGCTAATCTGTTTCAAATAGGTTGTATTCACCCAGTATTTTATGAAAATCAGTCACGTGAAAGTAATCAGAACTTACGTTCAAAATTTTTCTTCAATCTTCTTGACCTCAAACAGATGCATAATATTCCAGCAATTAAAAGAGATAATCCAACAGCTGGGATTGTGATAATGAGGGCAATACGACTTGAGAGGAAGAGCTCTTATGTTAGACAAGAAACTCACAGAGGACAGTGTCTAGACCCAATTATCAAAAATAGTTTTTACGAGGGGTTGCACATTTGAAGCAATCGTTGATGTTATTCTATCAGATTCCTGATGAAATTACTTTAGAAGTTGATACTTAAATCGAAAGAAAGAAAGACTCATGATGCATCAGAAATCTCATTAATTTCTCGTCTGCTAGTTAGTTCATGCTTATATCTCATTCAAGAGGAAACATAAGTGTCTCAGGAACTTTTTACACTCGCAATCAAAAGTTGAATTACATCTTGCTTTAAAATCCACTTAATGCGACCATACTCAGGGAGGAGGAGCAGGGGAAGGAGGGGAAGCAGACTTACAACCCCTAGTCTCTTGTTTCTAGGAGGAGCTAACTTGCTCACAATTATTATCATTTTTGTCCTACAGACAATTGAAAACACAAATAGAATGCTCTGGCATAGGTAACTGTACATTAAAAGGAAGTACCTTTAGAGGATGTGTTATTCGTTGGAGTAGGTGTAGGAGAAACTGGGGACTGTGGTGCCAATGGTGGTGATGGTGGTGACTCATAAGCCGAAGGATAAAAAAAGAGGTACACTTCAAACCTGATATTGCAACTGGGAGTAACAACTCTCCCTCCTTGTTTCTGATTACAACACTGAGGAATTTGTCCAATAGCGTTCACCAAACAATCATCACATTGTTGCTGCAACAGGTCTGGAGTGCACTGCACAAGTCCATACAGAGTTTGGAAGTTTGGAGCCGTCGCATTTCCAACGGCAAATTTCCTCGTCGAATTGCCACTCGCAGCTCGGTCTCTCAAGCCATCCATCAGATTTCTCAAAACCTAGATAATAAATCCAAAACTACAAGCTACTACTGTCAGGACAAGAAAACAAGACTCAGTACTTTGTCACCATCCGAACCGTAAAATCCTACTCAATCTTTAATGCAATATGAATTGTCAGCTGCTACCCAAGAATGATACCTAAAACCAATGCTCCTGTGAGCTCATCCTACCCTGAAAAGCTATGTGCCAATCCCAATGGCTTACAGGAAACATAAAGTTCGAGAATTCAAGAAGCATGCCCTCTGCTTTCATGGAAACAAATGACATGCAATGCAATGTTTTGACCAGGAACAACAACTGATTCATGTAAGGTTTTTATTAATGAAAGATGTCGATCACAAGCATGTAAACATTAACTTTCCGTTTTCGAACCTGATTGAACTGATCGACGTTGCTGGTGACATTGTAGGGGTTCCACAAGTAGAAGGTAGGCGAACCCTCCACGGCCCCAAAAATGGAGCGGTTCGAGTATCGGAGCATACAGTAGTCGTACCAGAGGACCGCCTCCTTCTGCACCGGGCATTGGCGAACGATCTCGGCGGCGGAGTCGTTCAGGCAACTCCGGCAGTCGGCGGCCCCGACGTCGCCCCGGCAGAGGGCGATGGCGTTGGCGACGTCGGGGCTCCGGCCGACGAAGAGGTTGTAGAAGCCGTAGTCCGCGGATGCGGCGTTGGCGTTCGAAGCGTTCGCGACGACGGAGGCGAGGAGGTCGCTGAGGCTGGCCGCGTAGGTACCGTTGGCGGTGAAGTTGCTGTTGCTCCCGCAGGAGCCGTGCAGAGGGTTGGCGCCGTGGACGGAGGCGGCGAGCGCGAGGAGCGGGAGGAGGCCGACGATGACGACGACAAAACGCGGCGGAGCTACCATCGGAAAGCTTGTCGGAGTGTTCCAGTTCTTTCGGGGAGAGAGAGAGAGAGAGGGGGGTTGTGATGCGGTGCGGGAAGGCACACGGCTTTGAAACCAATTAGCGCTCACCGTTGACCTCCGACTGTTGACTTCGACCGGTAAAGACAAAGCCCGAAATAACAGGGGGAATTACGATTGCGACACCACGACGATTGCGACGGGACTCGATATAGAAGTCAGAGAGAGAGAATCGTACGCGTTCTTCTTGTTTGCATCCCACTCGGGTCAATTATTTGCGCTCCCAAGAAGATTAGACTTCGAAAATTCCGAACCCGACAAAATTAGGGTTGTGTTTATTTCGCGAGAAAAATTTGACAAATAGGATGCCGCAAAAACAAAATAAACGAAATAGAATGTGATCCCAATGTTATGTCAGAAGATCCAACCAAAAAACAGATGAAGAGAGAACATACGTATGTGAATAGCATATAAATCTCGTAGACAAGCGGCGTGAGATACTTTAACATGAGTACCTTCCATATTGTCCTCCAAAAGTACGAGTCGCACAGCGTTCGGATAAGTAGAAATCTAATAGTCTATCGAGATAAGATCCGAGTGATGATATTCTAGGAAGGTACTATGATGTATGCTTGACAACTCATATTTTCATTGTCTTATTCAAAAGAAGTAATCAATCTTCCCGGCCTACTCCCTCGTTTCTCTTCTTCCTTGGCAAGTTGCGAGGAATTGGATGCCATGATTGCGAGAGAATTGAAACTGTTTGCTTGGAAATTGGCAGGAGTGTCCAAATTTCATGACCGAAGACTTTGGATTTTTCTCCGGGCACGACCTTTGACCGATGAACCACTTCTTTCTAAAAACAGCTCATCAGACGAGAGAGAGAGTGGTGTCAAAGCTAATTGCACAAAAATGGCAAAGAGAGCTTGTGTTTCTTCTTCCGCTCTCAGTTTTTATGATTTGTTTCTGAAACTTAGTTTTCTTCTCTTGGTATTGATCCTTCGAGCCATGCCATGCAAAAAAAAGGGGAAAATTATCCAAAAAATTATGAACCTATTGCACTTTTGCCAATTCAGTCATAAACATTTCACTTTTATCAATTCAGTCATGAACATTTTCACGTTTTACCAATTGAATACATTCGGTCAATTTTAGCTAGAAATTGCTAATGTGGACACCGAACATCCTACGTGACATAGGCGATGCAGACGTGGATAATTTTAATATTTTTTTGAATTTTTAAATATTTTTTTTCTTTCTTTTTTTTTCTTTTTCTTCTTCCAAGCTCGGTGAGGGTCGCCGGTCACAGGCGAGGGCCGACGACCCTCACCAACCATTGGGTGAGGGCCGTGAGGCCCTCACCACAACCCTTGCCCGCAACCGGCGAGGGCCATGAAGCCCTCACCAGTCGTGTCTAGGTGAGGGTCACAAAGCCTTCGCCGGATGCAGGCGAGGGTCGTAACCCTCGCCTAGACCTCGCAAGGGCCGCAAAGCCCTCACCAAGTGACTAAAGAGGGTCACCGACCGTCGCCTGTGGTTGCTGAGGGTCACTAACCCGCGCCGGACTTAATAGAAAAAAAAAAGAAAAAGAAAAAAGAAAGAAAATAATAATAATAATAATAAATAAAGCAGAGACCTCATTCCCGTCACATCATGTCTGTCCCTCCTCTCTTCTTCTTCGTCTCTGTTTTCTTCCCTTCTTCTTAGCCCAAAAGAACCCTTTCTTCAATTCCATGGTTCTTGAATTCGACAGATATGTCAGAAATTGAGCTCAATAGAGAATTGAAAAAAGTAAGAAAAACCCAACAACTGGTATATGTAAATACATCTAAAGCAACTAATAGACGTCGAACCTCATCTGCACACATAGAGCAGGATGGAAACCAACCATGCTCTTGATTTTGCAAGGAAAAATCGCTGTTGCTAGTACAGTCACCCACGTTTTCAAGGTACCATCGAAAACCAGCTACCTAACACGAGGGAATCCACAGAAGCCAGCACTCTTGGCTAAAACATTAGGGCTCTAGGAACGAAATTTTGAGGATGTCAACTATAGTCGCGGCTTGGGGACTAGGTTG